TTTAGTAAAGGTTTTACCAAAGTCAAACGAGGTAGAGCCACGACAGAGTTGGATATTATACACCTTTAATCTCAGCGCTTGAGAGGCTGACACAGGAGGGTCACAGGTTCAAAGTCACCTAGGGTACCTTAGTAAGACCCTATCTCAAAAGAAAACAGAACACAAACAAGCAAACAAAACCCCAAAGCCCCAGAAAACAAACAAATGAGGTAGAGTTAAAATTTGATTGTAGTCAGTTTTTGATGTCCTCTTTGGGGAACTGGTTTTAAATGGTCTCATTAAAGCACACAGGTCCGTCCCTGGATACACAGTCTTAGCATCTGAACATCTTCCCACGTAATTGCTCAGCACCATGGTGCTTGGCTCAAAGTATATCTCTTAGATTCTTCTTGATCTTCTTAGATTTCTCCCATCGCTTGATTCCAGCGTCCCCTGACTGTACCATTTTGACAACCTTAACACTTAGTCATCATTGACATACTTTAAAACGTGACAAGTCTCTGCTTCTGAGATGTAAGCTCTGATCATAACAAAGACCTATTGTCCCTGTCCCATCCCCGCCCCCCACAGTCCTGTAATAACTGCTTTTTTTTTTTAACCTGAAAGAAATATCCATGTCTTTAATCTGCCATTTTCTTCCTGCCTTACATTCTTCTTTAACCTTTTCCAGCTCACAGTCTGGAATCTATGATTGATGATTTAATTATTTTCTTACCCTTCCTCTGTGGTATTCTCTTTCTACACACTCCTCAGGAAAACCTTAAATCTGGACTGCTCTGTTTTCTCTGCCTAAGTAGTTAAACTTTGATGGAGAAAATCTACACAGACGCGTACACTGTCACTATAAATTCACAATACTCACTGGCAGCCACTACTCCAGTATCAGTAGCCATTTTGTGACCTACTTTTGGATTTCATGTGATTTTTGGATTTCATGTTTCAAGCCTTATTTATCCTAATGAATGTTCTGAGCCTTTGATACCTTCCTCAAACATTATTCCCACAGCTTGAGTTCATCAAATAACCTTTATTTTCAGTTCATTAGGGGGCTTTAGTTACTGGAGGTTTAAAGACCTATCACCAGCTAGAACTTTCTAGAACTCCATGTTACTCCTGAGTGGTCTCTTAAACTTTTGTGATATAAACACTATTCTATATTTGCTGTAGATTGGATATAAGATGCCCCTCAAAGAACGGTAGTAGCATCTGGAAGAAGAGATAGGACCCAATGACAAGTTTTTGGTAACTGGAGAAAAGCTTAAAAGAGAATTCTGGAACCCCAGTGTCTTCCCTTTCCAATTTTGTTTCTTGGCCCACGAATTTTGCTGTCTTGGCACAAGACCGTAGCAATGACGATAGTCAGTCATTGCTGTAAACTTCTGTCATTGTTACTTTTCTGTAGCAACAAAAACATGAAGGCAGAGGGTACTTAAATAAGATTCTCAGTTACAGAGGTTTAGAGACCATAATGGTAGAACAAAGGCATACATAGCATCAGGAATACCTGAGAGCCCCTAACTTGATCCACCAACAGGAGGCATAGGGAAACATACTTTTTGTAAACTCAAAGCCCACTTGACATATCTCTTCCAACAAGGCCACAAGTCTTAATCTTTCCCAAACAGTTCCACCAATTGAGGACCAGGTATCCAGACATATGGGGCCCTTCTCATTCTAACCATGCTGTGAACCAAATAAATTCCCCACCCTTTTAAAGTTGGTTAATTAAGGTATTTGCTATAATAATGGAAAACCACCTAACGTATACTTTAAAATTTGCCTCTAGCTTGGATTTAGCCAAAAAGTAGAAACTTGTGCGTGGGGGGGGGGGTGCCCACAGTACTATGACTTGAATGTTAAATGTGTTCCCAGAGTCTTGTGTTTGAACACTCAATCCTTGACTGGTAGTACTGTTCTGCGGAGGTTGGAGGACCCACTGGGACACTGGCCTAGCTGGCAGAGGTGGAGTAAAGTTATGTCTCCCTCTGGTTCTGACCCAAGCCTGCTATTTCTGATTTGCTAACAGGGCCACTCTGTCATGCCTTTTCTGCTAGAATGACCTAAAATCACTCTACATCTTGAACCAAAATAAGTTCTTTTCTTATAGTCTGTTAAGTATTTTTATCACAACGGCAAGGGTAGTAACTAATACATACAAGTTATCCCAAATGCAAAAGGTTAAGAATTGAACCTGTCATTGTATTCATAACACTTGTGTTCTTCTTCGTGCACATCTATGGCGCTTGGGATTGAACCCAGGGACTTGTACATGATAGGTGAGTACAATCCCTAGTTGAAACATAAAATTTTGCAGCTCTTTCTCTTTTCCCAGTTAGCACTGGGTTAGAGCATGACCACAATCCACCAAAAACTAGCAGACCATTGCCATCCTTGGGTTTTTTTTTTTTTTTTCAGTTCTTGATGGTCCAAGTTACATCAAATTTTTATCCTGTTTTTGGAATCTACCTTCATTTCTATTTTATTATTATTATTATTATTATTACTTTAGCCCTAGTTCAATGTCCTCTGATCAGGCTGCCTGGTTGGTTCTAAAGCAGCATAATAGTCCATACTTTTTTTTATTACTAATAACAAAGAACCACAGCCTGGGTCTTTTGGCTCATGGCTCTGGAATGTGGTCTCTAAAGGCTTCATCAGGTAGGGTCCTGAGGAGGCACAGGGATGGAGTAGCCAGAGACAGAAATGTATATATACGTTTCTCTCTGGTCTCTCTCCCTGTTTTCATAGACACCAAGATAGTATCCAAACCTAACCACTCCCTAAAGCCTCCACCTATACATACCAGCTATAATACACTTTCATCCCAATACCTCACAAAAGGTATTAAACGACAACACACAAAGCAGGAAGCTTCCAAAGTCCCTCGAACCTGTTCCTGTATCAGTGTTAGATGATTGCTTTAAATACAATCTGATTATACCTCTCTCTCACTCCAAACCCTGGATTGGTTCCCTCAAGCCTGGAAGTAAGTCCTGTATCCTTGGGATAGTCCTCATGGGTTGTCACCTGGCTTGTGCTTCCTTCTGCACTGCCTTCACCAATTCTTGCCTGGTTCCTTAAATTTAAGCCACAAAAAAGAGCTTGAATTTCCTGAGCCGTATTACGTTTTTTTGGCTTTCATTCCTTTAACACTGTGCTCCCAGTGGAGACCATCTTTCTATTCTTTATCACTTTTAACTGGCCAGTTCCTTCTCTCTTTTAAGGCTAGTTCCCGGAATCACTTCTTTTGGGAATCCTTTTTTTCCAGAAACTCTGTCTAAACTCTAGACAGAGTTGGCTACACTGCCCTTGTATGTCACGGTTCCTTGCGTGGAAGATGTGCATACTTGTCTGTTTATAAGATTGTGAGTTCTCTGAAGCTTGAGATAACATAACATTTTCCCCTGTACTCTTGTGTCTAGTGGTGGCATGGAGTTATTACTTAATAATTTTAACATACATGTACAAATGAACTCATGGTTCACTAATGAAAAAACTATTTTGTGTTTGAGATGGCTTGTTCAATTTACAAACAGGCGGAGGAACTGGATGTACAACTTGTGGCTGCCTCTCAGCTTTGTTTCTGAGTAACAACAGGCATAGTGATACTTGAACAGAACCGTTAGACTTTGGGGTGGGAGGTGTCCAAAGTCAACTGAACCCCAAAGAAGACGGAAGTGTTTGTAGTGGAGCTAGTGTCCAGGGGATGAAGGGGATTATTTAGAACACTACTAGACCTCCATTCTATGTGTGTAAACTTTAGTTATGTTAAATCTTCTCTTTTCTATAGGAAGGTGTCTTTGCTGAATAAAAATATTTTATTCTATACCTTACCCAAATAACTTAAAACTATGGAAAAAAGAAGGGTTAGCCAGATTTAAAGCTTATTTTGTTTCTTTCTTTTTCTTTCTTATATTGATTTTCTCTCCGAGGTATTCAGAAGACCCTGCACCCCAACCAAAAGAAAAAGTTAAGGGTTCACTCTTTTGAAGCTCAGTACGGAGTAGCTGTGACCACCGTGTATCATTATTATTAAAACTTTTTGAAGTTAAACAAATAGTAGTGGCCATGGGGTTAAAAAAAAACCCTAATAATAATACTTGTTAAAAGTTACAATTCCAAGACGCCCAGGGAGTGGCAGGTGATTCTCACAGAATACCGGAACCACGCTTTTCACAACCATCTCCTAAATAGGAATTGTCCCCCACCCCCCTTTCTATTTGGAAAACTAATGTTCACCGAGTTCAGATAACCTGGGAAGGTCCAACGGATGAGCTGGGAAGACTTCGGGGCCAAAAGGCAAGATGCTTGCAACAGGCGACACAACCTTTCCCAATCTCAGAACGTTGTCACCTGTCCCAGTGAAGGTAAAGTGGGTGAGTTGGGGACGCCAAGGAAGCTCCCTAAGAAACTAAACCTAGGGATTTGTGAAAAGGCAAAGGGACGTGTTTGGGAGCTGGAATCGCAACCGCTGGGTCACTAGGGAAGAGCAACACAAGGTGGTTTCTCCAAAGGTAGGCGGGCGGGGCGAGGCATGGGCGGGAACCCGGGAACGTGCAGAGGGTGCACGGGCCAGGAATGCCGCCTCTCCGGGGCGAGCGAAGGTGAGGGGAGAGTGAGTGCTGGTCTGACGGGAGCCTCGGTGTCTCGCTGAGGCAGCTCGTCCTCACCGGGTCAGCAGCACCGGAGGCTTCGGTCACACACGCTTGCAGGGGTGTCGGTGCGGAGCGGGGGGACAGGTGGCGCGCAGGCGCCCGCGCTCGGAGCGTTCCCCCTCGGCGCAGTGGTACGGCCCTGCCCGCCGCTGATCTGGCAGGCTGCGCGCGCACCCCGCGGCGGGGCGCGGGCCGGGGAGTCCCGGCCTCTGCGGCCCGCCTCCGTCTCCGCCGGTGCCCTCCTCCCTCGGCTCTGGTGCCGGGCGTCCGCGCGCTCCGCGGGGAGGAGCGCGGCCACGGGGGCGCGCCCCGGGACTCCGCCCCCCAGCTCCCCTCCCGGAGCCCGGGTGCCCGGCTCGCGCGGCTCGGTACGAGACGGGGACCTCGCGCCGCCCCAGTGCCCCCGCCCCGCGTGAGAGGCGCCGCGCCCTCCGGCCGCCCTGCCCGGTGCATGGAGGGGCCCGTTCGGATCGCAGCCGCTGCCGCCGCCAGCGCGCGAGGGAATGACCTGGGGGTGGCTCTCGGAGCCGGCTGCTGTGCAGGAGGTCTCGGGGCTTAGCCAGCCCTGCGGAGAGGTGCGGGGGGTCCCTCGGCAGGGTCCCCGAGGGTGGCCCGGGGTCGAGAGCTCGGGGCCGCGCGGCTCGGGAGCGGGAGGTCCTGGGGAAGCGGAGGCCGGCTTGCCCGCAGAGCGCTGGGGTCTGGGGTGGAAAGGCAGCTGAGAGATGCCCCGCAGCCCGCTCACCGCTGCTTCCTTTGGCGCACAGAGCCACCTCGCCAGAGGAGGCGGGGTGAGGTGTCAGTGACACGCTGAGGTCTTCTTCGGTGATCTGTCGGGGCAGGTGGGATGCGGCGTAGCGGGGAGCAGGGGGCGCCGGCGCTTTTCCCAAGGGAGCCTACTCTGTCTTCCCTCTCAATCCCCGCAGAGTGCTGGGGAGAGAGAGACAGTGATTTATGTGTAGGGAGAAGCAAGAGAAATTTCCTGCACAATGTATCTTTCTCTGCCTTCACAGGCTCAGTGACTTCCCAGCCCCAGGGAGTGTATTTTTCCTTCTCTTCTGTAAAGCTTTCTGTGACTCGCATTATCATTTAGTAAATACTTTAAATACATCGCTATTTATTTCAGCCTGCAGCTTCGGACCTTTGTTGCTTTCTCTCCACTTTTAGGAATTTCAGTAATAAATCACCGAGGGGGATAGATAGACTCCCTTGCCCTTCGCTTTATTGTTCTCCCCCTAACGCCACCAAATCAGGTGGAAGACTCCCGGGGGAAAGGAACTCTCTACAGAATGCCTGCCTTTCCTGAACGGGACCACAGAGGGTGGCAGGTGTTTTTTAAGGGCAGGCTGTTCCCCACTTGGGCTGTCGAATGTAGGGAACCTCATTAACAGAAAGACAGCCTTTGTGCCCAAAATCAGACACCTTGGGAAACGGGAGGTTGGACTAAAAGGTAACGTGAGATTTTGTCTCGGGCCAATGCCAGGAATGATGAAAGAAGCTGAGTTAATTCAGAGTCCATGGCTCACTGACACTGTACCCCTTGGATTCCCAATGGACATTTAGCATAGCTCAAGAACTGTCGCCAAAAGGAGGTAGGGGGGCTGGAGAAGAGGTGTCTTAATTTTAATATAATTCTAGACATTGTTACTTTTTAAATAACTCTTAACTTTCGTCGAACTTTTAGGATAAGATGAAAGAAGACCTTCAGAAAATTCCAGATTAGTGTTAAACTCGAAAGAATTCTTAGCAACTCAAAGAGAGGCACTGAATACTGCAGTCTCTGTTATGCACATGTTGAAGTAAACTGCCACATACTTTTAGTTATATGAGAAGGATGGAGAAAACCTGTTTCATTTTGGAAAGACGTGCCTTGGGTGTGTGTTTGGCAGCGTGTAAAGGAGAAACATTTATATTTCTATAAAACACAAATGTATATTGTTTAACTTTCTTGCAAAAACTCGGATACTGTATTTGGGAAGTCTTCCTTTGAATGGTCTAGTCACCTAGCAAAATCAGTTGCTAGAGGTGCTCTGCTATTGTTTGTTTAGTAACTCACTAGGGATGCTTTGATTGACTGCTGTGGTTCCCATCAGCCTCTCTACTGTGCAAAGTACTTAAACAGCACTGACTTTCAAGCAGGAAGTACAAAGAACCGGAGGACCTGACATCCACTAAGCTTAACTTGTGTAGGTTACTTCCTGCATCTCCCTTAGCTCTGGCGGATTTTGCAGGTGGCTTGACTTCTTGTGGAAAGCTTTAAATTCACTTTAAGATAGGACCCTCTCCTGTCATCAAGGCACATACAGAGCAGTGCCCAGGGCTAGAAACTTGTGTCATAGGGCGGTGCTCCACAAGGGTCAGGTAAAATTTAATATTATATGTTAATATTTAATATGTTAATATTTATGCTTTCCTCTTGTTTTCCTACTTTATGTGTGTACTCTCATGGCTCTCTAGACAGCCTCTTCCTTTTTTTTTTTTTTCTTTTTAATGGCAGTAGATTTTTTTGTTCTCTGGGGTTGTTTCTTTGGTGAACGTGTAGACTAAAGCCTGATGATGTTTCTAAGTAAAATAGTTGGGAGATGATTTCAGGAATTAAACACTATCTTTGTGAAATCAAAAATACAAAGGCTGATGAGTTAGAAAATTTGTTTTAATGTGTGTTATTAGTTAACATCATGTGATCAGCATCTCGACTATGTAGAATTCTAGCTAGGACTGTACAATTACCTACCAGATAGTTGTTCTCTAGCTTAATGACATTAATATTTAATAGAAATTAATTCAAATAGGAATTTGAACTCTAACTGTACTTCTTTGAGAGAGTTGTTTTTTTTTTTTTTTTAATAATCTGGCTATTTTGTTTATGACTGATTTTCCAAGAGCTTCTTTTTGTTTTGTTTTGTTTTTATACTCAACTAGATTGAATTAGAAAAATTACATTGTTTTTATTTACACTTTTATATTGTATCCAAACATTCCTGGGGATAACCTTTTGTTGTGTAGGTGGCCTGGATCCACTATGCACAGGAGGGGAGGGCTGTATTTGTTTACTGTTAAAAATTAAGGGATGGGGTACAAGAATATACTTAATGTCACTTTTAAATACTGGAATCCTGGTTACATTGAAATGAAAAGCTGTGGGTTTTTTTTTTTATTTTTATTGTTGTTGTTTTTAAATCCTTCAAGTTTTCTCTCATTGTTTGGGCACTCTCCCTCCATTGTAAGGCTTAAAACATACAGTATCATTGTCATCTGTCCCTTGAATAATGGTCCTGAGGTGATATTATTAATGTGGCTTTTTAAAATCAAACTAATTATACTTGCCTAAAAGAGCCACATGTGTGTGATTCTAGCTGCCTGGTGCCTTTTGAGAGCCCTGGAGACAAGCTAGTGAATAGAGCTGAAAACTCATGCTGTATTTGATTAAATGGAACAGACTCGCTGCTCCTTACCCCAGCAGGGGCTGTGAGATCTCTTGATCCCCGAAGCGGCTCCTAGACCCTGGGAATTCCATTAGCGAGCACCTGAGGAATTTCTGCCCTGCAGTGCCTTTTTTTTTTTTTTTTTTTTTTTTTGTATGTGTGTATGTGTGGAGAGGGAGCAGAGCTGAGTACTGAGTGGGAGGGGGAGTAGAGGGGGCGGAGGGAGAGCAGGCTGCATTAGAAGGCTCCATGTGTTAGCAGATCTAAAATCAAGGCATGACTTAACAGCTTATCTTGTAAGAGAAAAGCCCAACCCAAAGGCAGACTGCTATAGTGGAGACTTTATTACAGGCAGGGCTGGCGGTGGTGGTGTGCTTTAGCACTGAAGCGAACCCTAGTGTAAGTTCAGAGAGACGCCACTTTCTGCTCTCTCCTTCTGAGTACAAGCGTATACATATTTGCAGCCTTGGTAAGTATTTGTTTTTTTTTAATGCTCTTTGGATAAATATGTGAAAGTGTATTACAGTGTGCTTTTGCCTCTAAGGGCTAGCGTATTGTGTAATAACTGAAAATTTGAGAGCAAAGTCAAGTTTTTATGGCAAGTCAATTGCCTGTGCAGAAATGAAATGCTTGTTCGAATAGGCATATTTTAGTTTATAGCTTTGTTTCCATACAATCTCGTTCTGTTTCTTCTTATTATAGAGTTTGAATTCATTTTCTCTCTCATTTCTGTTAGCATTTAAAACGATTCTGTTGGCTTTCTAGTATTTGGAGCCATTGCTCTTCTGACTCGACAGTAGCCCACGTAAATGAAAATATAATCTCCAAAACCATTCTGGAGTAGATTTGTGGAGAAGCTTTGGTGTATCTCCTTCTGCCCGCCTCTTCCTCTGCCCTCGATATACTTTGGGAACAACTTTTGTCAGAGTACTGGCCCAGTTCACGTCTTGTGTACTTTTCACAGAGGACTGGTTGGAGTTTGTGGGTGGTATCGTTAATTGATTCTCATCTTCTGGGAATGTGATTCACAATGTGAACAGTTTTCAGCTCATTTAGAATGCAGCGACATGTTTGATGGCTGCTGCGACATATTTTATTGCTAACTAAAATCATGTACATAGTGCCTGTTCTTTTCTTCCCATTCCTATGTAGCCCTGTACCAGGTTCTTACAATACCATATGTTTAGAACATAAAGAATCCCCTTCGAGAACAGTTTTACCCCCTTTCCGCCATCACCCTGGACATGCCTTTTAAGAAGTAGATTAAACTCTGAAGTAAGCGCCTGTTTGCCTTCACGGTTTAGTTGCTGTATGATATATTTTGATGGCCAGAGATAATTAAAAAACAGACAAACAAAACACCATTAGAGATCACTTTGTTCTGCTGTATGTGAGTTGGAATATGAGTTGGTGCTTCAATCCTTGAAGACCAAGGATGTGCCCTTTATTAATAGAGAAAAAGGATGTGTAAGCTGGTTACGTTATTGAACTTATTAATGCATTCTGCTCCTTTCCTTGCTTGAAGCTGTGCAGTGGATTTTATTTTTATGGTACTGTAATAGAAATTGGATTAAGGGGTTGACATGGAACTCGCTTTTCAGCTACTCTTATTGTTTCTGTGAGCTTAGGCAATGGTCTTGACCTAGCCTTGGATCCTTTATCTGTAAAATGGGGATTAAATGGATAGAATATCTTCCCTCCATGGGATTAAATGAATAGATGAAAGTAAAACATTTGACAGATAGTAAAACTTCTGTAACCGTTAGCTGCTATCACTCTTATCGATTCCTCCTGGATCAATTTGTGTGTCACTTCAGTCCAAAAGTGATTCCTTTCAGGTTCTAAATAAGGAGGAAGTCTTGTAAGTTTGTAACAATGCATGTGTCCCGTGTAATTGCTACAACTTCATCCGCTAAGTAGTTGTTCAACTTACATCTCAAACTTAG